GAACGTGAGCCAGCTGTGTGCCCAGGTGGGCAAGAAGGCCAGCGGTATCCTGGCTTGTATCAGAAATAGCATAGCCAGCAGGACCAGTGATGTGACTGTCCCCCTGTACTTACCTCTAGTGAGGCTGCACCTTGAGTTTTCTGTTCAGATTTGGACCTTTTGCTACAAACACTGAGGCCTTGGGGCATGTTTAGAGAAGTCCAGCAAAGCTGGTGAGGGAACTAGAGCACAAGACTTATGAGGAGTGACTGAGGAAACTGGCTTGGGGCAAGCTTACTGCCCTCTGCAACTACCTGAAAGGAGGCTGTGTTGAGGTGGGGCTCAATCTATTCTCCCAGGTAACCAGTGATAGGACAAGAGGGAAGGACATCAAATTACACTAGGGGAGGTTCAGGTTGGGCATTAGGAAAAACTTCTCCAAAAGACTGGTCAGGCACTGGAATGGGCTGCTTAAGGAGGTAGTAGAATCCCTGGTGGCATTCAAGAAATGTGCAGATGTGGTGCTAAGGAACATTGTTTACTTGGCCGAATTGGTGGCAGGTGAACCAGACTAGATGATCTTAGAGATCTTTTCCAACCTTAATGATTTTGTGACTCAAACCTAGTGGAACCACCTCTTTCATTTTCTTTGTGGACAACTGCTTCAGTGGGTTTACTATCCAGGTAAGCTACTCGCTTGCTAACTCAGGATAGGTGAAAACTGAAGTTGAATTTTTAGAAGCTGGGATTTTGGGCTGAAGAATACATGATCTTCACTAGAAAATAAACCAAAACCTACAAAACTTCAGACCCTGCTTTTAGCCCTTCTAGGATTGCATCCTAAATGCATTCTCCCTCTGGTGTGTACTATTCCAGTGGGGGGCATGCTGCCTTCCTGAAGAATGAATACCAAGCTCTTGAAGTTTTACTTCATGTGGATTCAAGCTGCTGTGTAAATCTAGAGTCTTGGAAAGTGTCCTGAGGACATGCAGGAGGGAGAAGATAAGATCAACTGGAAACTAACCTACTCATTCTGCATATCACGTACTGGCTTCAAGTTTATAAAATTCAGCTGAAATTCAGTTTCTTGAAAGACTTAGGATATTTCTGTGCAGGCTAACCAGTCATAGCGTTTGGGCTGAATGATCCAACAGAAGAATGTGAAGCTGCTTCCTTACCAAATAGCAGCCTGTATAGTTGGCAGGGCTCATGGATCTAGAGCAGACATTAGCTCCTGTTTGTGCTGCATGGTAGGAAACCAAATCCTTGCTTCTGGAGTCATCTCATGCATCCAAAAGTATGGGTATTTTGATGAGTTCTGTAAACTCCACAAGAATCTGTGCAGAGTCTGATTATCAGTAGGTAGTTGTAGAGCTGTGCACAAAAGACTCGAGCAGTAATCACAGGCCTGGAGGTCTGAATGTTGACTTATTTCTGCCATAGGTTGTAACCGAGGCTTTGCTAGACTTTCACCTGACCTGCTTCTGCAGGTGACAGGTGGTCTAAGAAGGTGAGGAATTTTTCTTATTTACAGTAGAAGAAGATTTGAAATCTGAGGAAATCTTCTGAGATAATTCTGGGACTCAAAGAGTCTGCAGAAAGAACCTGTCGTTCATTCCATTTACCTGGAACCAGAAGCTGCCTTTTCTCATCACTGTTGTGGTTCTGCTCTGATTCGTGGCAGGAAGAGTTTACTTTATTAGGTGCTGCCTGAAAAAGGCTCTTTATTTATAAGCATATAGATATCTATATTTAAAAATATCTATATTTGTAAGCAGTAGGTACCTGCTAGAACTTGGACTGTGCTGATCTCATAATGCAGCTATGTTATTAGAACAGTAGCTACCTTGTCCTGCCAAAGATGAAGCTGATGCATGAGTCCCTGGAACTGAAGCCAGACTCTTGTTATATGAAACATTTAATATTAGCAGTATTTCAAATGCTCTTAGGTATTACAATTATTACAATTGTGCTGGCAGGAAGTGCAGATGGATGCATATTTCTTTTCCTGCCAAGCTTTGCAGGACTGACTCCTCTTTCTATGGTAAAAGTAGGCTAGAACAGATGATGCGGTCTTGCTTCCCCAACTGCAAAAATCCCGCAAACCTTGTGGAAGAATGCCATTGCCAATTAACATGATGCAGAAGTGCTCTGTGTCAGGATTACAGGCTGAGACAACTCATATTGGAGGGCCATCTGCTATGACGCTTGAAAGCCTACTTCTTTCTAGCAACGGTTAAGATTTCAACAAAGGGATCTAGCCTGCTCCTAAATGAAGACTCCAGCAGTTCCTTATTTTGTGCAGCTAGCCTGGAGGCTCCACCCATTGCTAAGGACAAACAGGTGGCTTCTGACTTGACCTTCAGCTGCTGAGACATTGCTAAACAACAGTGCATGATGCCAGCCCTGACTGGCTGGGGAAGGGCTTTTGCCATCAGAAGTGAAGCTGTGTAGCGCAGTAGCATTTTACATGTATGCTTCTTCTGTCCTTTCCCCAGCCACAGCTTGCAGCCTTCCAGCTCCTAATCAGAGGTAGTATAGAAATTATGCTTAATCTAGATTGGAGCATTTAATCCAAAGCCAAAATTGGGTGAAACTATTCACAGCCTTTGTTTTAAGACCTGAGACATTTCACAGAACTATGACTTCAAGAACATACTCAAGTAGACTAGATTGGATTTCAGCCTTTGCAGACCTTTGACCTGCTTAAATAGTGCAAGGTGTGTTAATACGGTTATTGTAGACTTCCAACATAACTGGTGAAAAAAATTCTTGACTTTGTGCCTAAAGCCATGTGTTTCACCTTTAAGCCTTCTTCCAGTTGTTCTAACAACTTGACGTAGAATTGTTGTAAGTTAAAGAACACAGTGGAATCTCCTAAGTTGCCTTTTGGAAGGGTTTTTTTTACAGGCTTTCAAGAATCTCCTGTTCGATCACGTTTAAACCGTTTTCACAGTTAATTCATTTCCATACTGTAAGTTTAGAACTTGCTTCAGTTCTGGCACAACTTATCTTACACTAATGCATATTGCATATGGGCAGTCAAGAGCTGCCTGTTCTTTTTGGAAGTAAGAACAAACTTGTCTACAGCTGCTGCAGTGTCCCAGGGATTTCATTGCTCTTTACTGTGCTTAGCCAAATTTGCCTGTCTAGCTGAACTGCAGAATTTCTGTAGCCATCTCTTGCTTCTCCTCTTACCCTGACATTTGCTTATTCTGTTTTCCTGATTCTAGCAGAACTTTTTTCTTCCAAGTTGTTGTGGCGTTGCATCTTCTTGTTATACAGGCTCCTTGTATATTCAGTCTGAGCCAGATGCTTCTTGTGTGGTTCAGGATAGCTACCTTGTATATGAGCTGGCAAGCTGTGCCATGTTCATCCTTCTCCTTTGCCCTCTTAAAAGAGCATCTTAGTGCCTGCCTTCTCCTTCATTTCTGAGTTAATTCTACAGTGTTTCATGTGTTCACAGCCTCTTCTGAGCGTTACCCGAGAGAATGTTTCTAGTGCCTGTTCGTAGGCAGTAATTTAGATCTCCCTTTCCCCCAAATGTCTGTTATAAAGTATTATTCTCCCAATTACATAAGCAATCCTCAAACTGGGAAATGGTACAAGCACTGTTCTGTGGAATTGTGGTGGTCAGAGGGTCTGTCTCTAAAATTCTAGTGTTCTCATGGTGGGTTTGTAACAAAGGCTAGTAGCAACTTAGCATCAATTTTAGCCATTGTCAGAGGCACACCTTCATAAGAAGTTCCTGCATCTCTCACCTGAGAGAGAATTCTGAACCCTTAAGGAAAGGAAGACTTTTCAGGATGAGGATTACCCTTGTCCAGCTGGAACATAAACCACAACTGTGTAAGGAATACTGATAAGCAAATGGGATCTTACACAGAAATAATTCCTTAGCTAAAATTACATGTTTCATTTAGCCACATAAAGAGTAAATGAAGCCGTGGCTAAGCAGTAGTTCTTCAACTAAACACCTACTAATTGAGGTGCTGCTCTAACTGTAGTGATATTTTACCAAGTCTAGCATCCAGGGGAACATTTGTCCTTGCAAGGGAAACATTCTATGTATAACATCTTGTGCTACTACTTAAAAACAATACGATCTGCAGCAATCAATCTTCTCTGTAAATAAGAGCCTTGAATATTTAACTCTTTTACTTTAGTCAAATGTTCTTATACAACCTGTTATGCATGGTCAGCTAGCTCTACTATGCAAACAGGGCAGACATGCATAGAATTGGTTTATATGAATTCTAAGCCTTGAAGATGTAGGGATATACAAAGTTTGATCTAAAACCCCTGTTTTCTGCTGTTGGATGAGTTTTAAGGAGTTACAGACATCCCAAATCCTTGTGTGCCACATCCTACAATGGCTGCTTGCTGGTTCTTTTAACTTCTGTTTCCCCTATGCACTGGATGATAATCTTGGAATTGGAAAGTTGGGGATAAGGACATTCAAGCAAAGCACAGTGTATCCATGGGCCTTAAGACTCTAGAAGAGAGGTGCACATAAATATGTCTAGTGAACTGGATGGGAAGTTACTCATAGGAGTTTGCCCTTCTGACTCTATTATGGGAGTGTCTATTATTTGAGGGGAAAGCTGACCTCACATCAGTCAACTGAAGTGTTGCTGCTTCATCCAAAGCCTGTCTTACAAGTAGGTTTCCTAATTTGCCTACTTGCTTCATTTTCAAAGTCTATGTTGGTTCAACAATATCTCTGATTTCTCATGGAAGTAAACTGGTTTGCTCAGTATTAAGGGAAAGTAGTGTGGTAATGTGCTTTCTTTTCAATTTATGGAACAGCTTAGCATTTCTTGAACTTAATATTCAAGCTGCAAACTTGGAGAGTTGCCAGAGTGTAGTGGAAGGGGCTGATACTTGAAGCTGCTGGAAGAAATTGTGTGGTAATGGCTAAAAATACGTATCAGTGAAGCTTGTCATAGGCATCTTTAGTAGCACCACTTTATGGTGAATCTCTTCATGTATCTAAAACTTTTTTTTGTTTTCCAAAACAGGATCTCAGTCTACCCAATGGCACACCAGTTGACACTTCTAGCCCAGCCTCCTCCTCGTCTCTTCTCAACAGACTGCAGCTGGATGATGACTTGGATGGGGAAGCAAAAGACTTGTTTGTTACTGTTGATGATCCCAAAAAACATGTATGCACAATGGAGACTTACATCACATATAGGGTTACAACAAAGGTACATAGCAACAAACTCCTTCTCTATTGCTTTTTCCCTCGTAAAGTTTTGTTTTTGAAGGCAATGTTTTGGATGTTTATACCTTGTGTTCTATCTCTTTGTCTTAAGTACTAGAACTTAATGTTTTTCAGTACATTGTAATAAATGTCTTGATGGTGTTACTTCTTTTACCAGAACTGTGACTGCTTCAGTATGTGAAGTAATATAAAGCTTTTAATGTGTCAGCTTAGATCTTGTCTCTTGTTGTTAAACAGAACTGTTTGTAAACTTGAAAAGCCAGTTTCTTTAGCTTGAAAAATTTTCGTACAACACCCATTTGATTTGAGTTACCTCTGCTTGATAGGAGTGAGCCTTCTTGCTAATTCACTGGTAGTCTTCACTCATTTTGTCAATTGTGCTCTGAAATTCTTTAAACTTGCTTAAATGTCCATCACACTTCCTCGGTCATCTGCTTATTTAAATCACAATATTGTAATTTTCATCCTTGAATGTAAACTAGCTTTCTTGCAGTTGTTGATAGTTAGAACTAAGTAGTATTAGAATGCTACTGTTTCCTGAAAGTATGCAAGTTTTTTCAAACAGTATAGGCCAGCTATTAATGTGACCTCATTATAATAGTAGGAAGAGCAAACTGAAAGCCTGTTGCATTCTCAGCTGGAACTTTAATTTCTGTTAACTAGATGTTCTCATTAGCATCAACTTTGAGTAATACTGAGATCTTCTTTGGGCACTTGTAGTTATCTAATGTAAAAAGTGTCTGCTAGCTTCACTGTGATTCTACCATATCCACTTGTCCAGAAAGATTTATGTTGCTGTGACTTACTTACATGGCCCCCCTATGAAGACAAGCTGAGGGAGCTGGGCTTGTTCAGCCTGGAGAAAGGAAGGCTGCGGGGCGACCTCATTGCAGCCTTTCAGTACCTAAAGAGAGCCTACAAACAGAGGAATCAACTCTTTGAAAGGGTAGATAACAGCAGGCCAAGGGGAAATGGTTTTAAGTTGAAGGAGGAGTAAGGAATTTCTTCCTAATATTTGACCTAAATCTCTGCTCTTCTAGTGTAAAAACTATTCCCCCTTGTCCTATTACAATTGGTTGGTCTCCCTCCTACTTATAAGCATGCTTTAAGTACTGTAAGGCTGCAGTGAGGTCTCCCCAAAACCTTCTCCGGGTTGAACAAGCCCACCTCCCTCCTTTCTTCATAGGAAATGTACTCCAGCCCACTGATAATCCTCATGGCTCTCCTCTTCACCTGCTTCAACAGCTTCACTTAAACCAGAATCTGGAAGGTGGATAAGGTATTTACCTTAGAACAGATGTGTTAACTCAATGTCCCTTTTTTTTCTTAATCTAAAAAACCTATACAGATTTCATATCTACCTACCTGTCTGTTAATACTTGCTTTATTCTGCATCTCACTGCAGCACATAGTGCAACTGTATCGTAGCATTACAATACTATTTTAAAACAGTGCATTATTTGTCCTCATCAATCACCTCACCTATTAGAGTTTATTACTTATTCTTGTAAACTTCTGGCTAACCCCTTGGGTCAACAATCTAGTCTACTATTGTTTGAAAAAATCTGGTTGGAAGTTTAACAGTATTAATGGCTTGACTCATTCTTAGTGTACAAACAAGTCTTGATGCCAAGATAATTGCCTTGTCAGCCACTGTAGCTGAAAGCAGTAATTAAACACGGCAAGAGCTGCATAGGAATAATTCTTAGATGCTGTGATCAGGGTAGGTGCTGATGGTTCGACTTTCAGGTTGTAGTTCATAGCTGTAGAGCTATGTCCAGTCATCTGAGGGGAATGTAATTTTTGTTACTGTAACACATACTTGAGTCTCCGGCTGGAAACTACTGTAGACAAAGAGTGTAACGTGACTGCAGTAGTATTTTCCTGTTTGCCTTTTTTTTTTTTTTTTTCTTCTTTTGGGAAAGGTCTTCTATTGCAATGGCAGAAACAGAGGTCTTCCAGTATGCCCCAGACTCCCCATGTACTGACATCTTTGTCTGCAGGTAGTAGTGGCTGGGGAAGGGTCCAGAAAGTTTAGTCTAACAGACTTGCAGTGAAGCAGAGCTGAAAGTATGGAGTTATCTTGGTCTTGCTTGTATCCCTGCCTTCACAGCTTCCTTCCTGGAGCCAAGTAGTGTTCCTCAGCAAGTCTTCTGGATTAACATGTTCTACAGCAGCAGAATAAGAATTCCTGAAAGGATGGGGTGAGCAAGTCAGACCTGACTCTGCTGTTTCTCATACCTTGTTTTCTTCCTGATAACTGAAATTTTCTTAGAAGGGGAAATGAGTGAAACCAGAAGAGAGCATGGGTGAAGCTTGTGCTGGCACTTAGATGGCCTTTGCTGTAATGATTGAAGTGCTCCAGACGTTCTTGATAATATCTCTGTGTCCTTCAAGTAAACTGACGTGTACTCAAGACTGATTTTATCTAAAAGATGTTTTTTCTGAGGCAGGAAGGGGGAAAATCAACCTTATGCTGTGTAGTCATCTCTCTTGAGAGAAACACAGGAGTATTTTGAACTTTGCGTTTACTGTGCTTTATAGAAGGGCAGGGCATTCTTCTGTACCTTCTTCCATGGAAATCTGAACAGCTGTATGCCATTCCTCACTGTCCTGCAGTTGCTCTGCAGCTTGAATGGAGCTGCCTTCAAACCAGCAAATGCTGAAGTAGAAGTCTTGTTCTCTTTTTCCTCTCCTTCTGCCCTTGCTTCCAGTGTGTGCTTTGAATAGATGAGTACACAGAGTAGCTTGATCCCTACAGGGGTGCAGATGTAAATCATGCTCTTTTTCAAATGGGATAAGTTCTGGTGAACAAACTACTAAAACCAACACTGTTGTCCTTCTCCCACCATTCTCTGTTTTTTTTTTTTTAAATAGAATTTTTTACTATGGCTTAAATACTACTTAATTATAACTACTTAAATAATACTTAAATACATGGGGGAAATACAATTAAAATATTTAGTAAGTAGAAGACCAGAACTGGAGTGAGGAAAATGATACTTGTGCCTAGTTGTCACAAACTAGTTTTAGGTTTCTCTACTAACTTTTTGCAAGAAAGAAGAAACACCAAGTCTTGGCGTTTGCCTTAATAGTGCTTCCAACAAGAGGTGAAAGTGTCTGTTATCCTTCCTGCTTTTTGACAAGTGAAACTGAGCACTGCAGTATTCCAGGCTTACTTAGTGGAACTGTGCTGGAATCTTCAGTAAATCTCCAGAAGTGTCTTACCGTTATTTTCGGGAGGCTGAGATCTGCCATGTCAGTTTCTCAAATTCCTTTGGGTGAGACGTGTCCTTGAAAAATGAGATTTGTGAATCTGAGTAAGAAAGCAGGAGGAATATGTCAAAAACCATCCCTGGGTGGTGGCAAGACCCTCTTCCACTCTGTGAACAGTCTGGAAAAAACAAGTTGTGCCAAGCTAATGAACAGTTTGATCTGAAATCCAAATTCTTTCAGCATTAGTGAGATGTGGTTAAAACCTTCCAGATTTAAGACTCTTATGTTCTGTCCAAATAGTCTTTGAAAAGCTTGTTTGCTCTCTAGATTTGACAGCTCATACAGCAAACACTAAAATGCTGATGAATATGATGTGTTTTTATGTGGGTCCTTCTGACGGACAAGAGCTGAAAAATTGAAAACTTTACAAATCTATTTGTAGCCTAAAGGCAGCTGTTTGCTGTAGGTGAACACACACTGATACTAAGATTTAGATTAGGACTTGTCCTTCTCAAATTATGCCTCCCTTCTTCCAGACTAAGTAGCACCTACTGGTTTGCTGTAACTGTTAGCAGAACACTGGTTAGTGAGCTTCTCAAAGCTGGCAGACTGGACACCTCGTTTTCATTGTTGTGCTACAGGGTAAGGCACTCACTCGTTCACTGTATGATCACTGTTCAGTGGTCTTCACCCTATCTCAGTCAGTTCACATAAGCTCTCCTATTAAATTGTTACTTTTCATTTCAATTTCAGATGATCTTCTGCAAAGTGAAGTACAGCTTCTCCACTAATACGACAAAGCAGTCTCTGGCTGATGAGGGCTCTTTACATGTGTATATGTTATCTTATTCTATTGTACCAGTGCTCAGTGTCTTACTCCAAGCCACTGTGTTTTATATAAGGCATCAAAAATCTCATTTGTGCTGAGGCACTCTGCTGTGTTAAAAGAAGCTGGTGCTGCTCTGATGTGTAGCTGACTAAAATACAAATCTACAGTGGATATCTAAGTCTTGGCAGTCCCTTGTTCACAAATGCTTATGATCCCCTGATGAGCATTCATTGTGTTCGCATTTGTACTTAAATATACTCTTACCATAGCTACCGGGTCAGAACAGGCATGAGGTGAGCTTGATGTCTTCCGTTCAAGAAAAGAAAGGTACAAAGAAACAGAAAACAAATCATTTCTTAAGTAATACCACAGTAGCATACCGTTCAGTGTATGTTAAAGCTACTGTTGTGCTGGTGGTATGCTAAGGCTGCTGGTACTTCCTGAAGAGATTGCTGGCATAGAACTTGCACAGGATACTCTGTGAGGATCGATAGGCATATGTGTAGTTGCTGGAGAGTTGGTATCATCCAGAAAGCAAATGAAATGATGAACTGTGTTAAAAGGGTACCCACTTGGCTCTCTCATAATGCTGTATGTGGAAGTTGCCATCAGTCTGGAAGTAAATGCAAAATCACTGCTGAAATTTAGCATGGCTTTCAATGGCTAGGAATAGCAAAACAGCCCAGTGCTGGACTCAGTACTAGTTGAAAGCTAGGAGAACTGATGAGTTCTCCAAAATGCAAAGTTTGTGATGTCTGGCTGTAGGTGCGATGCTGCATTACCAACACGCTACTTTCATTGCAAGATGGTCTTGATGTTGTTACAGGCAACTAAATATGACTCTCTAGGTTTCTCTGGGCTGTACTTCTCACTGAGACATCACAATAAGGACTGTCTACCTTCGTCAGGACTATCTGCTGAGTTGTTCATCAGATTCCCCCAGTTAGTACACACTTTGTTTAGTGCTGTTAGACAACTGTAATGCATACTGTGTGAGCAGCCCCATGAAGTTCGGTTTCTATTCTACAGACTTGCCAACAGTTTCTCTATATATCTCTCTTCTGCCTCAAACTTGTAATGGCAAATGTAGCTCCTTGTTTTAATAAATGGGAACTTGAATTATTTAACATAATATACTCATAGTGAAATTTGGCATACCCTGTGTGAATTTCATATAGACAAGCTGGTTTCTTCTCAAAAATCAACAAAACTTTTCCTTCAGCAAACCTAGCAATGGCTTATGCTCTAATTTTATAGCCTTGAAGGAGTTTAACAAGCCTGTGGTTTCTGGAATACAGAGTAGTGGTGAAACATTCCTCACCTGCAGTTAAACTGCTTCACAAGTAAACAAGTCATGAACTATCTTGGCTTTTAATTCTTGATTGCTAAGTAGTCTCGTCCTTGGAATAAAGATTTCATACATTCTCCTCAAATGTGTGACTGCCAAGAGATTAACATGGTGCACAATATTCTCATCTTCCCAGACTGCCCCCACAGAATTTGGGAACATGTATTGTAATACTGATAAACTCTAAGAATACATCCCAAGTACTCATTTTTCTCACTGCTGACTTTACCTCTGCTTAAAAGGCCATTTCTTTTGTGCAGCTTGTAAACTTCATTTTGGGGATGGAGTTCCAGTGCAAGGCTCGTATGTCCTCATCCTCATCAGTGGTGGTTGTGTTGCATTGCTGCTAAATTTTGAGATTGAGGGGTTTTTGTGTACACTAAACTTATCCTGATCTTATTTTCCAGACCACTCGAGCTGAGTTTGATTTGCCAGAATATTCTGTTCGCCGGCGGTACCAAGATTTTGACTGGTTGAGAAACAAGCTGGAAGAGTCTCAGCCAACACATCTCATTCCCGTAGGTAGTAAGCAAAAATCTGCTGTTAAGAACAGTTGTATATTTGTCTTTAAAGGGTGTAACGCTCCTTTAGCTTGAAATATAGCATTTTATTCACTCTTCTGCTTGAGGAGTGGGAGGCACTGCTGATTTTTGACTGATTGTGAAGCTTAAACTTCTTAAGTGCGATACTTGAGAGGTGAGCTTTGGTAGCCTCCTGTAGGAATGAGGTTGATGACGATATTTGTCCAAGCATAAGTAGAATGTGCTTAACTTGCTTGCATAATTATTACATCTGAATTTCTGAACATGAGGCCTTGGAAAAGCTGCACAGGTTCTTCAAATCCTAGTGTCAACATTCAGGTTTGCTTTTTGAGCTGGTTTTAAAGAACATGTTTCAAGATCACTTGTGTTAGTATTTAAGAGCTCAGACTTGGAGATCTTAACTGATGGCGTGGCAGCTATTTTATATGTTCAGGATTAGCTAAACTACTGCACCATTTCTGTCTCTGAAGCTTACAGGCAGTCTGATCACCATTTCATATGAGTAAGCTGGTAATCATGGTAATGATCTTTAGCAGTCTGTACTTCATTTTGTACAAAATGGTAGAAAAAGTAGGAAGACTGTGAGATCATGCCATCAGCTCTTCTGAACAAGGAAATCCAGGAAGGTCTGTAGTAGATCAATTGTCAGGAAATAACAATGCTCTTAACATACCTTTACTTGCCCATCTGATATGAGAGCAAGTTTGTCTTTGCTCTCTCTCCCTCAGCAAGGACTAGACTGTGAGAAGTATTCAGTTAAGCTGTTCCAGGAACTATTTAAGTTTTTTACTTTTCTAGGACATGCCTCCAATTGGAATAATAGTTCTGTCTTTCAAAGATAAGTACCTCACAAAATTACACTACACCAATGCCCGTTGCCAAAAAACATCTAGTAAATGTTCAGGGAGAAGAGAGGAAGGGAGTGAGCTTATCCAGGATAGGGAGGGTTAATATCAGCTTGCCAGTCCTTTGTCCATTTTTGTTCTCGGAATAGCTGAAAATGTCCAGGTTAAGGTTCTGTGAATTTCTAATGGAGGGCTGCCAGTGCTGCTTCAAGGCAGTAATGGCAATCAGCTCATACTCTAGCAGCAGAAGGTAGTTTACAGTAAGGGAGTCGAACTGCTTTGCTGTGACAGAGAATTTGATGCACACTGGACTGCATGTTTTGGTACAAATAGCACAAGTTGCTCTAATACCAAACACAAAAACCTGCTACAGAGCAAGTGTCTTAAGTGTGCCTCTTCTAAAGCATGTGGAAACAGGTCACACTGCCTTCTTGGTCTGCCTCCGTGCAAATTCACTGTGGCAATAGTCGTGGACTTGCCTCTTAATCTCCTCCATACAGTGGTATGATGGGGAGACTGTCAAATGTTTTGTGTATTCATTGCTTACAAGTAGACAGAGAATGGAGAATAGTACACTAATTTCAAGTGTACTGTGACTGTGGTGTATTCTGAAGGGATGTTGTTTTCCTAGCCAAACTAGGATTATCTGTATTTATGAACTGAGGTGATGCAGTCCTTGGAGGCCTTCTGTCAGACAAAATGCAGAAAGGGGATTGTTTTCCTTACCTTGGTAAGGCCTAAAATCTTCCTGTAAAGGATGATGTCTTCCTGGTGCAGGGAATCTTAATAGTGAACCCTCTGCAGTCAAAATCAAACTGAAAATGGGTTCTTTTTTCTCTTTGGTTACTATGACCTGAAACTTTCTCTCAACTGTTATTTCAAGTGACTGTTTTGTTTTTGTTTTTTTAAAAAGAGTTCTATTTCTGTATCAGTAAGCCTAATATGTCCCAGGATCTTGTCTTTGGGTGGTGGTGCTGGGTTACTTTGAGTCATTTCTGATTTCAGTGAACTCTATTGCCTAAGAGCCACGCAAGGAAACGTGGTCCGTTAGTTAAGGGAGATAAGTAACACACAATTAAGATATTACTTGATAGTTGTGTCTATTGGCTATTTCAGATGGACCTCAGAAAGTCTATGAAATAAAGAACTAGAGCTGTGGCTCATTAGAAGTGCTTACTGTAATTTCTTGTCTCATGCTGTGTTTCTCCCATTATTGGCCTCTATAGGGTGGCCAAACTGTTCTCGGCAGCTGTTCTCATTTGCAAGTAGTTCTGTGGCATACTGATCTACTGAAATAGGTTGGAGTTATACTGAAAGTGGAACTTAGCTATTAAATTTATCACGTACCCACATGTCCCTGCTTGTTACTTTCCTTTGTAATAGAACTAGTGACAGTAGCTTCACAGCCCTGTACTTTCATAGCCTATTTGATGAGGTTTAAATCTAGACTTTTAGAAGGGGAAAGTAAATAATGCTTTTCTGCTGTCTGAAGTGTGAACATCGATTTCTGAGATGTGAATGAGTGCTATAAAAGAAGCAACTTGAATTATAAACAGTATTAAAACAAGAAAATTAGGCCTCCTTGGGGGGCAGAGATCTTCAAGAAAGTTGTCCAGCTCTTCTGTTTCTGGTTTGCTGGGTCTTGCCAGAGGCTAAATGTCCTGCTGGCTGGGCTGTATCACAAGCACTTTCATCTAGTTTGAAGGATGTGATTTAATATACCCAACAGTGCTTTTGGTGTAATTTAATGTGGATCCTAAAGGCTCAGTGTTTATGTAAAGCCGCCCTGCTTGCAGAAGGAAATCTTATATAAATGAACTGGCTGAATCCAGTCAGCTAAAATCATGTTCAGTGGCAAAAATTCTAACAAAGATTCTGTGGCTCTTATGCTGAGACTGCAGTGGTTATTCTGTTCCTTCTTGGAAGTCTTTGTCTGAATGGAAGCTCTGCAAACCAGGTGTCCAGCTTGTCCTTTTCCTCCAGTGTGTTGTGCTGGGGAGTTATTTTCTATAATGCACAGTTCCAGATAAAGCATACAAAGCAAGGGAGAATAAATTTTTCTTCCCTGAAGACTACTGCAAATAAGCATTATTCATCTGAAAAAAATCTAATTAGAGTGTTCCTTATGCTGATTTAACTAGGATGATTGATATGAATGTTCAGGGTAATGAGACAAACCTTAAATTACACAAACTGGTGATAGGCACGTGGTGATAGCTGGTTTTTATGTTTGTTTTTACTATGTGTTTGGAGGTGCAGTCCTTGTGTATATATTCCACATCAGCTAGAGTACAATATAAAAGGCATTTGTGTATGCTTCATTTTCTTTGAATTATTTTGGCCATTGATCTGAGGTGACAAAGAGCCCTTAAAGAGGAGATCCATGAATTTATTGAATAAGACCATCATTGCTAGCATAAGAGTAAGCAAATTATCTGTCTGGGCAAACTTTCACAACAGTAGAGTGCGAAGTTTAATTTTTAAACTGAAATTAATCTTTTGTGACAGTTTATGCTGTCTTGAATGAAAAAAAAAAACACAAAAATTGTGTTTGTGTGTGAACAGTCATGCTGAGGCTGAAGTTTAAAGAGCTGGTCTGTCCGGAGTGATGCTTTGAAGTCTGGAGTGTGAAGTGTAAAAAGATGCTAAATACCACAGAGATAGTAGTTCTTGAGGCTATCTTAAGCTTATACATTATGTTGAACTTCAGAGATAAACTGGTGGAGGCAAAATAGAAATAAAATGAGAGAGTGGATACATTGGCAGACCTCTGTCACCTACACATAATAAATAAGAATAGAATACAGAATAGAGAGAAGGAGGAAGTAGAGTTGTTAGGTTTTTCAGGTGTCCTTGGACTGAGCCACACTATATAAATGTCAGTTCTCACTGTGTGCATGCAAACATGTGTGTATCTATATGCATGCATTTTACTGTGGTGAATAGCGTTGCAGCTTTGCTGGCATTCCCTTTAGAAGTGGTGCTTCTTCATGAATGGTGACTGGAGGAAAATGCCCTAGGCTGTCCTGGAATTACTTAGTGTGCCTAGTACTAAGACACACAGTAATAAACTCTGCTGTCTTCAGCTGAGTTGCTAGGGTTAGGCCAGAGCTACTGAAGCATGATGCAGAGCAGGGCTTGCATCCCTTCTTACGTATGGTTCCTACTAACAGAATTTCACTTCCTGTTGAGAGTGGAGTTAGGTTGTTTAGTATGTTTCCAAGTACAAGTTTTTTTGTTTTTTTTCTGGTCTTTTGAATCTTGTGTGTTTTGTTTGTTTCTCTCAGCCACTTCCTGAGAAATTTGTGGTGAAGGGCGTTGTTGATCGCTTTTCTGAAGAGTTTGTGGAGACCAGGAGGAAAGCATTAGACAAATTCTTGAAGAGAATAACTGACCATCCGGTGCTTTCTTTCAACGAGCATTTCAACGTATTTCTCACAGCCAAGGTAAGCCAGTAACTTGCAAACCCAGTCTCTGACATGAACAGCAGAACAGACGCCTTTGCAATCTCTTTTGAAATAAAAGTAAGGAGTCATTAATAAAACTGTATTTGTGGGGCAGTGCTTGCCCTAGAAGACCAGGGTTGTTTGGGAGACCTTTGATGTTACATCTGTATTACAACTCTGCAGGTTTACTTTGCTAAAGAAAAGCAGTCTGCAGATAGAAGTTCTCTTGTTCAGACCTGCTTATTTTGGATCCTTGTATAGAAGCCCTTAAAAATATATTCTGAAGTATACTCCTGTGATGCAAGAGAGATTCAGAACAGAAAAAAACTGTGGACTATGTAAAATCCTCTTTTCAGGGTGGGCAGAAGTAAAAGAGGAAGAAAGATCTCTTGCACAAAAGCTTGCAAATTTGGTTGTTTTTTTTTTTTTTTTCCATCTTTGTTTGTACTTTCTATACTGCTTGCACTTCTTGCTTCCAAAGCAAAGGGTAGAGACTCCATTCTTACTTGTTCTTGATCAATAACTTCATGTTCATCTTTTGCATAAAGCATCTAGAAGCCATGTAGTTTTCTTTGTCTTTTGAACTGCATTTTAAATTAGACCAGGGTGACCTGCAGTTGTGGGTTTGACCTTATAAGTGAGAAGAACTGTAAAAACATATTTTCCTGATGTCACATTACACTGCCTCACTCAAATGTGAATCTTAATTTGAGCTCACTCCGATGCTCGGCATGAGAGTAATGTGAGACTCAATCTTAAATTCCCTTTTTTTTTCCTGCCGTCATGGTGAACATTGCATTTTTAGGTTTACTTCAGCAGTAGAATTAGCTCTTGATAATTAAGAATATGATAGATTTGCTCTGCTTTTCAATTGTCAAAGCAAGATGTAAAATGTTTAATTGCTTAGTTATCTTCTGCCATCATTTCATCTTTGTGAAATGAATGGTAAAGCCTTTATCCTCGGCCATGTGTAATATCCTTTGCTTTGACAATATGGAGTGTCCAGGGATGCTGGGAGAAAAGAACATGTGTTTTCCAGTCTGTCTTTAGTGCTAGTATATTACTTATTTAGTAATGAGAAATCAGCTCACTCTATCAGGACTTCAGAATTTAGTTATTGCAGAAAATCGTTAGACCACCTCCTGGCTGAAAAGGGAAACCAACCTTTATTTGAATTTCCTGTTTGAATTAGTAAGATGGTAGAATGCATGAGAGAATGAGTGAATAATTTTGAATTAGAGTCTTTCTTGTTTCTGATGCCTATATGCACGTAACATGTCAAACAGACAGAGGGCAAGAGTCGAGGAACCACTTCATTTTGAATGCAGACGTAATTCAAAATGATTGTAGCTGTTAAATGTTAGGTTATCTTAATCAGATTTAGCTTAATGTAAGTACTTGAAAAGAATAGCATAATGCATGTTTTCAATAAGAAATTCTGTATTCTTTTTTTCAAGAACATTTAAGCTGTAATCTGATTTTTATGCTGCTGTGTATTGATTCTTGGCCTCTGTAGGTCTGCTCTGTTTGAAATTTTTTCTTGCTCATGCTGTTTTAGCTCTTCAGCAAGTCTTTATGTTGAATAGTGACCCCTGCTGGAAAGAGTAAGATGCACAGTGGATGGCATTTTGCCCAATTAAAACTACATTTTCTGATGTGCTGTAAAGGTGAAATCCTCTGAAGATTGTCCGTATACAACCATTAGATGTGCTAGTTTCTCCAGGCTGTACTTTCTCCTCTGTACAGTATCCTTTGTCCTGTCTGACTACACAGCTGGTGTGAGCAGGCTGCTGAGCAAATAGACATGCAGTCTGTAGCTCTGTATTAGCCTATCAAAGCCAACTAGTGGATGTGCATAGTGCTGGTGTTACAGGCTGTGTCTTAAAAGTTTGTTGTGGTAGACAGGTAAGTTCATCTGTGCTGCTCTCATTTTTCCTTCTCAACAAAACTGGGAGAACAAAATATTTTTTGAAATATTTGAAATAGGCAGGGAGATAACTCACCAATTACTATTGAAGGCAGAACAGATTCAACCTAAGTGACATTAATGTACTGCCTAGTGATTAAAGACCAGAGCAGTAAGAACTAAAAGCAAACTAAAAACACATGGCTCAGGTCTGTGGTGGGTCCTTTTTGTAGCAGCTGGGACTGGCTTTGACCTGACATGGGGCAGCTGCTGGGCTCTGCTCAGAGTCCACTTCTGCAGACCCTGTGTTAGCAAAACCTTTAAAGTTTAATGAATAATTGTCAAGAGGTCTTGGTGGAAGTAGATTTACTCATGTCACTGTGCCCCTGGTTGCAGTGCAGGAGTATGGGAAAGTCCAGCCACATACAGTGATGGGGGCACTTACTACTTCATACCATTCTCCTGGGCAGTATATCTCTTTCTAGAACTAGTCTTGAAGCTGTTCTAGGCTGACTTGTACAAGATAAGGTTTTTGTGTGCAAGGCTGTGTGCTGCATGTAATCTTTTGCCTTTGTAATGTTTGATCTTGACTGGGAAGTATCTTTTGCTGTATCTCACACAAACACACAAATATTGTTTGTTCTTACCTCCCAGGATCTTAATGCGTACAAAAAGCAAGGAATGGCATTGCTGTCAAAGATGGGGGAGTCAGTCAAATATGTCACGGGAGGTTACAAATTAAGAAGTCGTCCACTGGAGTTTGCAGCCATTGGAGAGTATCTAGACACATTCTCTCTAAAACTCGGTACCATTGACAGGATAGCACAACGGATTATCAAGGAGCAGTTGGGTAAGGACTAAAGTGTTCAACTTTGATACTTCTGGCTGGGATCTCTATTTTTTTCTGATTGATAGCATAACTAACATACCTCAATGATTATAACATGTAATAAGCCATACAGAGCATAAATTCTTATGCCTCTTGCAGGTTTAAAACAACCTAACAGAGTATCTTGTCTTATCTCAAATCTGAATGTTTTTAAGTTATTCTTGTTATGTTAACCTATTTTCTTACTGATTGTTATTTCTCAGAGGACTTTTGGGAAGAAGAAAACCTGTAGATTTTAGCTGGAATTGTACCAGTGGAATTCTGAAGACAGTAACCTTAATGTGTCTGTCTTGATGAAACAGCTGAGTTTTACATGTATAAGATATGACTTTAGCTACTCTACAGAAGTAAATATTTATGTATACTGAAGTTTTTGGGAAAAGTTAGCTGAGCTGGTGTAATGTGGACCAATCACCTCCATGCAGCTGTGGAGCTCTGATTATTAAGATGCTATTACAATACTAGACTGCTATGAGAGTTAATATTTGCTAAGTATGGACATGGTTTCTTCTTTTTTAGCATAAGTGTTTACAGATACTTTTGCCTAGTTCTTTCTCTGTTTTTATTTTCTTTTCCCTTTTGCCTCTGCAGAATACTTGGTGGAATTACGAGAATATGGACCTATTTATTCAACCTGGGGTGGGCTGGAGGTTGAGCTATCAGAGCCACTGGAAGGGGTGTCTGCATGCATTGGGAACTGCTGCACAGCTCTTGAAGAGCTCAGTGAAGACATGACAGATGACTTCCTGCCAGTGCTTAGGGAATATATACTGTACTCGGAGTCAATGAAGGTAAAGGGAGCCAAGTGACTGAAGACAGTGCTATTTTTTATTCATAGAGTGATGTCAGTGAGCTAATTCTCAGGGTGAGAACGCTTGATGGTAGGGAAAAGAGAGAAGTAAATGATTTGATTAGGTTAATGTTTTTGTAATTAAGTAAAAAAAATAGTAATATTTGTTAATATAAGTACTTGCATGGTAACAGTATCAGCTATGCTATTGAGCCACCTGACATAGAGTGTGTACATGATGCTGAAAATCTGTTCTTTTATTGTACTATCAACTTTCCATAGGAGACATCCTGTAGCTGTCTAGAATCTTCTCTTGAAATTGTTATAAAGTCAAGTAAAATCTTGGCCACTGGCTTGTTGTCTGACACTGCAGAGAATGTCACATGCAGCTTCTGTCACTTGTATGCAGCAGTGTTGTATGGTTCCTTTCACATCAAGGCGTCCAGATGACAAATAAGGCTTCCTCTTTCATCTCTGTACGTTAAGTGGAATGTATCTATTAAGCTGTTAAGTTCTGCTTACTAAATAACTGCTTAAAGATGTTGCTTTGTGACAATTTATCTTGATGTCTTGAAGAACTTGATATCTTAAGCATTGATGTGTAAGTAGTAACTTTTAAAATCTACTTCACTGTGGTATTTTTTCTCTTCAAGTGTGCAGTGATTGTAAATCTTATTGCATGGCAGATTTACTGAAACAGAGAACTCTGATTTTGGCTGCTAGAGCTTCTCACCACACATCCATGGAACAGTGTGCATTACTAACACCCCTTATAGAGCATTAACAAGTAAATTTCTTTGAGGACTATCTTTTGGAGCAGCCATTATGAGAGCATGATATACCCTCCTTTAGAAATATATAACAGCTTGCTCGAAACCTAGTCTGAGCAGGGTTGTTCTCCCTCTTAGTCTTTCTGTACCTCTGAAACTGAGAACTGGAAATAGTTGTTAGCAGATTTCTCTTCTTGGTTTCAAATGGCTGATGCAAGTCTGTCTTGCCTGGCTTAAGCAAAGAATTCTTGCACAAGGCTTTGCACTCATTTTCTGAAGCTACCATTTGTTTTCATACTCGTGTTATAACCATGGTTAGATCCAGTGTAGGCTAGATGCATTTCCTTTGCAGTACCAGAATGCTTGGAGATGAAGCTAGAATCTGGGATGTTCAGGTTCTTTCTGCCGGAGGGAGCATGTGTATATGTATTTAAGCAAGACATGAAGTTAGCAGAAGGAAACCTCTTACCCCAGGGCGTCTACCTTTTCATGAATACAGATTCCATGGCATCTGAGGTATCAGACTGACTTATAGGTGGTGTTTTGCACGAATGTAGAGAGTGGGAAGGCTTTACTTTAGGTTTAGGAGCGCTCAGATGATGACCAAGATACTGAATGCATTCTCCAAGGTAACAGTCTAGCTGCAATTATTATTTTTTTTTTTTTGTCTTTTTGCTGCAAGTCTTTAATGCTGCTCTTTGTGATAAGTGTTCTCTAGCTTCCTGAAGTACCTCTTCAGTTGATGATACCCTTGCCTTGTATCTTAATTTCTATGCTGTTAATTTGACTTTCAGGTTTCCTGAGGGATTTTCTCCTGTCAGTTTTTCTCAAACTGGCTGAACTTGCTCATTGTGCTGGTGCTTTGGAAGTAGTTGAATCTAGAAGCTGTATTTGCAGAATAGGAATTCAGTAAGGATTACGTTGCTTAGTGTCAAGCTTGGTCACTTCACTACTTTTATCACATCTGAAAATCAAGAATAAAAACTGTTATTAGGTAAGGCAGACTGCTCTTTGTTTCTATCTCTCCCAGATACCAAAATTTAAATCTTCCAGGCAATACTAAGCGCGGTTTTCTAAAAGGTAAATCTCTTAGTGTTGACGTGGTAGTCAGCTACAGCACTGTGTTACCAGACTTGATGAAACTGAGTAGGTAACTGAAAACGAGGTTTCTCGTGGAGTGCAAGAAGCTTCCTCTTGAAAGAACTGTCTTCTTCATGAGCAGTGCTATTCATCGCCTGCACTGAAGCCTGCTGTGAAATGTCTGTTGGACAGCTTTTGGACAAGATACTTGAGGGAAAGTAAGTCTTTGGGTTCTAGGAATTCGGTGCAGCCTTGACAACTTTTTTCACTGCAAGTTGCACCCTAGCTATATAGCTTAGAAACCTGGTTTGTGGAGCTGTCTCAAGCTGGGTGAATGCCTTTCAGTGAAGTAACTGCCAGGCTCACTTCAACTTTTCTTTAGCAATGAGTGCTTCCTTTTTCTTCTTGAGGAGCACTGTTTTTACCTCATGGGGCCAGCCTGAGGGAAATACACCTACAGAGGCAAAGACCAGAAAGCCTGGTTGGAATAACCGTGAGCTTGTTCCATGAAAGCCACATACCTTGTCTCTGTATTTGTTTGAAAGATTTGCAGAAGTGGATAGAGGCTGGGACTGTGGGCTTGAATTTAAAATGTGTGGTGGAGGGTAGGAGTGACCTTGACTAAAATACAGTCCACACTTAAGATGGCCAGATAGTGTCTGGAATTCTGGCACAGATGTGTGTTAACGTTTTTCTGTAGTATGCTGGTGTTCAGTGGAGGCATGTACACAGGACAAAGTCAGTTCTAAATAATTTAGTGCTGATTCTAAAATCATGTATGAACTCTGTATGCTTAGTGGGGGCCTGAAAGGCCTATCAGGTGATGTAGTTCCCAGCTTTGTGCTTGGATGTTACTAATACATTTTTAAAGCAAGCAGCATATGAACAATCTCTTCAAAGGCATGCAGTAAATGGTGAGTTCTAGTTGTAATAAGAAGGTATATGCAGTGCAAGTGGTATAGCATCACAACCTGAGAAAAGGGGCTGATGGCAAACTTCTGAAGCTCTTTCAAACATATAGGTCAATGGGGAGTGTTTCAACCAAATACAAATTGAAGAAGGACCTACATCACTGAAAGCAGGCTAAGTCTTATTTGTTGTACAGCAACCAGTGGTTTTGTTCTTTATACAGCTGAAGTGGGGTGTGTGACTTCTTGTGTGGTCTTTGTTCTGTTTTTGGTATTTCCATCTCACTGAGGCCCTAATAATCAAGTGTTGCATAGGTAGTGGTAAATCTGGGGTTACTTAGTACAGAGCTCTTCTGAGAAGCTGCTCCAGTATAATGCATTATTTGGCAGCTGTGGAGAGATTGCCTGGGGCTGCCTGAGTAAATACATCCTCTCACATATGGAACAAATAAAAGGGAAGGCAGTATTTTTCTCTTCGCTTTCAGGTCAACCATTAATGGATGGTTAAAGCTGTATTCAGAAGCGTGTTGCTAATGGTCCGTAGTGGGCGCTTAAGGAGGAATAAAATACTTGCCCTTTGAATCTGCTCTGTTGGTACCTGTTAATCATTGGCTAATGCACGTTCAGATGCTGTGTGTTGTACTAGCTCCATGTTCATGGGGGCTGAATGCATTTGCTTGAAGTGGTTATTTTTCTGAGAAAATAATCTCAGTTGATTCAGGCTTGCAGGACGCTATGAAGTGGTCAGGTTTTTGTTGCACTGATAACCTCAAGGACTGGAGTTCTGTTTCACATAAGTGCTTAGATTGTGAAATGCATGGGTATGTCATGATTTTTCCAAGCAAGCATGACTGATAAAACAGCATGTGTGCTGTCCTGTTCCTTCTTTGTTTATTTATTTATTTATTTTTACCTAAGCCAGAAGTAAATTTGTGAATGGAGAGTCTTTTCAGATGTCATGGGCTGAGGCTTAAAAGAGTAATGATTGCAACATCTCTTGCCTCTAGCTGCAATAGTTACTCCTTCACACAGAATGGAGTTCCTCAGAATAACTGCAGTGGTGTCCTTAGGTAGGAGGAGGGAGAAGGTGATGATCAGTAGGTATAAGGCGCGTACATTTTGGCCAGATTTATACGTTACAACTTTTCAGTAGTCTATACTCTTAATAAGACTAATTTCTATTTGTTGTTTCTATACTGTAAGCCTATAACACGACTGTAGCAAATAAGCCTATAACACAACTGTAGCAAAGAACTTGGCTTGTAGATATAGTAAAACAGAAGAATAGACTCTTTTGTTCTCAGTTCTGGGAAGCCTGTCTGTAAAATGTTTACAACACGAAAGTCACATGGGTAGGTTAAGTTCTTTCATATAAAACGTGCTTTTTGTAAGGTTAATTCTTTTATTATTAAAAACAGCAAAACAAAATACCCAAACTGCATCTTTGTATGAAAGTTGAGGTTTTTATCTGACCCTCTGCTGGAAAAAAAAAAACTCTTTATTTTTTAAAAGCTACTTTCTAAATATTGTAAAACAGGACAACATACAAAAAGGCAAACTTAGGACTGAATTATCACTTCAGCTGTAACACTGCAGTTTCTTACAGATGGGAAGGGGAATAAGCAAGAACATGCTTCTCACAATTGTCTTTTCTCTTGCCCATAGAATGTATTGAAGAAGAGAGACCAAGTTCAAGCAGAGTATGAAGCAAAACTGGAAGCAGTAGCCTTGAAAAAAGAAGACCGTCCAAAGGTTAGCACTTGAAATTACTCTGCAGAATCAACCTACACTTCCACTGCTTTCTGATAACAGTAAAAAAATAGAGCTTGCTTTTTCTGGGTCTGGCTTTCTCTCTGCAGTATAAACACTTTGGAGCAAAGTAAGAGTTTGGTGGTAAGCTGGTGCAAAATGAAGACCTAGGTACAAACGCATTTAACCTTGTCTAGCAACATCTGTTATTACTGATTTCCCACCATTTAGAGAAGGGTGGCTCTGACCTGTGTTGGAGCATCTAGTTGGACTATTCAGTAGCTATGGCTTTAAATTATGGTAACTAAGCAGCTTCTGGTAATTTTGGTCTATGGTTGCTGAATCAAGTTCCTAGACACTGGCATCACTGATGCCAGTTACATCACATGACTCCTGTTTTGCTCCTTCCACTAGGGAGATCTTCCCTTGTGATGCGGAACTTAGGCAGCAGGGGTCACCGGGTGACAGGTTTTGGGTGGGCTTCATGAACTTGACACTGGTGAGGCCCCATCTCATGTGCTGTGTTCAGCTTTGGGCACCTCAGTACAGAAATGACATTGAGATGCTGGCGCAGATCCAAAGAAGGGCAGCAAGGCTGGATGAAGGGCTTGGAGGATATGGCCTATGACAAGAGACTGAAGGAACTGGGGCTGTTTAGTCTGGGGAAAAGGAGGCTGAGGAGAGATCTTACTGCTCTCTTCCAATATCTGAACGGTGCTTACAGCGAGAGCAGGATTGGTCTCTTCTTGCTGGTGACAGGTGACAGGATGAGGGCAGATGGCATCAAGGGTAGTAAGTTTAGGTTGGATATCAGGAGAAACTTCTTGGCAGAAAGGGTTGTTGAAGTACTGCAGTAGGCTCCCCAGGGAGGTGGTTGAGTCACCATCCCTGCATGTGTTTAAAAACACATGCGCATTCGGATGTGGTGCTCAGGGACGTGATTTAGCAGAGGGTTGTTGGAGTTAGGGTAGTGTGGTTAGGTTGTGTTGGACTCCGTGATCCTTAAGGTCTTTTCCAACCTGAGTGATTCTGTGATTTTAAACTTGTGTGCTTATGCTGCCACCTGCTTTCTGCATGAAGAGTAGTGCAGGAGGTGTATGTTACATTAGTGTTACTTTGACCAACAATGAAAACAGGTTTTGTCCCCTCTTTTGCCTGGGTTTTTTGGCTCTCCTCCACCTTCCTGTTAAAAACTGAGGAATGAATTCTAATATTACAGGTACTGTATAATAATGTTAAAAGAGGCTCAAGTCTTTAATCTAATTTTGAAACTGAAGGGTACAGATTGTGGAAAAGCGACCCTTTTTTCCAATCCTCAACCTGTATCTGTCATAGACTCTGGCAAAAGTGATAGCAGGATGGCTTGGGTACCTTGTGCTCTTCTATTCTGATCTTCTATCAGCCCCACTGCTGATTCGTGTGTGTATCACTGTTACTTCTGAAGTGTAGTTTTGTATGTGTAGGTATTCTAACCTGTTGTGTGGATGGCACTAAATCTGGCACATCCAGTAAGCCATTTGAGGATACGAGGTACTGATTTCTGTCATGATCCTGATATAGCAGAGCTGCTGAATGTTGCTAATCTCTCACCTACTAAAAGGTTTTTGAAGCTCATGTCTTGCTAGGATTATTGTGCAAAGTGAAACATTTAAATAGCAGCCTTCAAGAATTTTTTGAATTCTTACTTTTCCTGTCCAAAGTATCATAATCATATCTTTTGGTAACTCCTTGTACCTTTTTTCTTAATGTAAGATCTTTACAGCATATAAAAGGGGAAGGTGGGAAAAAAAAAAGGTACAATTCCTTGCGTGTTAATAAAATACTAGCACACAACTTCTAGATTCTTTCCAGCCTGAGTGGAATGTCCTTATCTATAAGAACTGATAAGTTAGAGCAGTTGGTAGCAATACATCTTACATTTAGTGAGTTATCCTGGCTGTAACTTCCTACAAACTATTAGCAGACAGAATACTAACGAGCTAGCTTATACAGGGGATATCATAATGGCATTTATGTTCCTTTCAGTATATTTGACTGATTGGCAGAAGTTACCTTAAAACAAATGAACTAAACCAAAACAAACAAACAAAAAACCACAAAACAAACCCAAACAAAGCTATGTTTTTGTCGTGCTTGTTAACTTCTTCCAGAGGAGGGCGTTCTGGGACTCACAGTATGCATAATCAGACTGTCTTCACAGAACTCCACTGATGTCATTATGTGGTTCTCAAATCAGCTTAAAACTCCATGGACTGTAAATACAGAAGGCTTTTAGGGCTGCTATGAATGACTGTCAGGAAATATTGCTCAGAATGATCAAGTTTCCAGCAAAAGCACTGTGTAACTTCTTCTGTGTGTGTGGTGTTTAACATTAGAGGAACAGTGCAGAGTCTTCAGCTTTTCTGTTGATAAGCAGAATACAGTGGAGAAGTGCTGCTTGCTTTGGCATGTTTTTCTGAGTAATTCAACTCAGGTAGTGAAGCACAGACGCTTCCTTTTAGGAAGATGAAATCCACTTCTAATAACCTAGCTCTGTCTGTCTCAAGGATTTGTAGTGTGGGACCAGTCAATATGGCAGCACCGACTTTGAAATGAAAAGTGATTGTGTGTGTTTGAAGGGTGATTGTGGTGAAATTTGTAACAGTGTGTATTTCCAAAGAGCAGGAAAAGTAGAAATACCATATACGTACATTTACACTCTTGAATAAGAACAGTGTGTATGTGGATGCTTCAGGAAGCCTGTGGAAACCTAATTGGAGTTCATCGCTATAGTTTCTCAATGAGAGCATACATAATCCATTTTCTGATCACTGGATTGTTATTGTAGCTCTCTGTACATACAGTCCTTTCAACCTGGTGGAGAACTGTCTATGGGAAAGAATGCTTTCTTTTAGATCTTCATTGTGGTTTTGGATCCCGGCAGAAGCAAGAAGCTAGTGAGCATTTAGAAACTGAATTGATTTGGGTACTGTTATATGGTTTTGCTTCCAGAATGAATGACTCTTTCTCTTGACAGCTGTGCCTTTCCTATTAAAGTAACAGCATTATTGAAAATGATGAGAGACATGCTTACTTCAGGAGGAGCATCCCCTAAACCTTCTAGCCAACTATCTTGCAAGGTCTTGTCTGAAGCCTGTGAGATCTTTGTTGTGAGTTTTAGCAGACTGGATTCAGTGCCAGAAGCATAGTGATCAGAGAAAGTGGAAGAACTACGTAGCTACCGGCCATGGAGTTGCTTGTAATATAAATCCAGTTGTGTGAATGAAGGGTTACTCAAAGCTCATGAGCATCAAAGAGGTGCTCCCTTGTGTCTCACAGAACTATACTGGGGCCCAGATGTAGGGCTTTCTCTGACTGTTAGCCTATGGAGTACTTCACTGAGTGTCCCTAACTGCGTTGTGGAGAACAACAAGGATCGTATGTTTCTGCTTAGATACATGCCTTGCCAACTGCAAAGTAGTTGTAAAGTACCCACAAAGAACAGAAATAAAATAAAAGGAATTTCCTGAAGACTTCTGCAGATATTCTTGTTTCTGCCCTTTGTGCAATTCACAGCTCCCACAGAGGAAATCCACTTATCACATTGGTGCCAGTGCTCAGGATTTTCCTCGTCTGATGTCTTGGGCTGATTGTGCATATATTACTGTTTGTGTAGACCACAAATCACAAGGAGAAGGAAGAGAATGATGTTCATGTTTTTTCTGCTTGAGGCACTGTTTGTGAATTGTTCCTGTAGTTGTCTGATAGTATATAGCATTTTGATCTAAATCATAAACAAAAAATGCCAGATTCTTTGTCCTAGCTTGCTTCTTGAGTTGATGAGTAGTGTTGTAATCTTTTTCAGTCTCCTTTTAGACCTGCAGTGGGCTATCCTTCAGCATTTCTCACATTGCTTATGCATGACGACATGTCCATTGTTGGGCCAAATGAACTTACTTGGCCCACAAGTTATTGCCTTTAATTTCTTTTGTCTTATGATCAACACTTTGCGTTTACTTTTTTTTTAGGTAGCCTGTAAGGTTTAAGCTAGAGGACTAGAAATTTTTTTCTGCAGACACTGAGCTGATCACTACTGTTTATTGTGGTCAAAATATAACATCAAAACATGTCATTTGGTCCTTTGGGCAAACCTGGATGTTTGTTATTTCATTGGTGGAAATTAGGAAATGTCTGGTGCAGCTGTAAATAGGATGAAGGAGAGAAAGCTTGCTGTGGAGCGGTGGTCAGTCTGATCAGTTTGAGAGCTAGGAACTGAGCCTAGGCTCTCAGCACATATGCATATTTCCTCTTCATGCTTCTAGGAATCTCTTCCACTCTATGCCACGTCTGGAGATGATAGCATGCCCATCACCTGAAATAGAAAAGAACAAACTAAAAAGTCCTGTCTCCTCCCTGAAATATTAATGGGTCTTCTTCTTGCAGCCATAGCTGAGTTCATTCAGGGTCACTACCTTTCCTCTATAGCTTTGGCTTAGTGGGATTCAAGCTTCTCTACCATCTAGCATGCTGAACAACAGTATCAATCTTGATTTTTTTTTTTTAATTATTATTTTTTTTTTTTTTCTGCAGGTACCCACAGATGTTGAGAAATGCCAAGACCGAGTAGAATGTTTTAATGCTGATCTGAAAGCAGATATGGAGAGATGGCAGAACAACAAGCGGCAAGACTTTAGGCAGCTGCTGATGGGAATGGCAGATAAAAACATCCAGTACTATGAGAAGGTATGTGACATTGTTGTAGCACTGGCAGGAGTGAAGGTAGTCATTTGTCCTCCAAGATGGTGGTTATTCTTCAGGAAATGTTTATGCCATTTTACAGTAAAGAACTTGAACATCTTAATTCTTCAGTGCTATGGAAGCTGCTCTTTGTCAGCAGCTTAGTGTAGCCTGCTGAGTTGTTGGCCATGCTCAAGTGATCCACGTGAGACTAGTTGTCACTTGCAAGACATTCTTTTAACTTCATCTTTGGATGCTTGTCTATCTTGGATTCTTGAATTGAACAAATTGCTGAGCTGAAGTAGTAGTTTTCTTTCTACTTGCTAGTGGTGAAGGAAAAGTCCAAAAACATGTGTTGTGTATGGCCCATCCCTGAAGGCCTTCAGGGCCACATTGGATGAAGCCCTGAGCAGCCTGGTCTGGGGGAGGATAATCCCTGCCCACAGTGTGGGTATTGAACCTAAATGAATTTTAAGGTACCCTTTCAACTTAAGCCATTCTTTGAAGTAACCAGTTACTCACATGCAGTGTGGGGAAGTCCCTGAGGTGTAGTGGGGTACACTGTGTGTCTGTAGTATGTACCTTTTTCAAATAGCATTGAGAGCATGCTGCTATAATAGTGGCCACTGTGTCCAGACTAGTCCTCTCCCACAGTCACATCACAAACATGACAAAAAGGAGTTTGACTGCCTAGCTGCAGGCTGTGTCCTTCAGTTCAGAAGAATCTAGCTGATACTTGAAAATCGTAGGTATTCTGATGCATTCTTAATAGCTTGTCCCAGCAGATGATATTGGAAAGCTTTAATTTGATTTCTTTGTTTGAAAACAAAAGCTATTCTTCCTGAATGCTTTCTTACATTATTAAGGAAGACCAACAAGTGTAAAGAACCCTGCTAGCCTTTCTGAACTTCCATTCTGTCAGTCTGGGAGGGTGGTTCAAGAATTACAAGAGCTGATATGCAATTCATTTTTTAATGAATTTCTTTCTTTCTTCAGTGCCTTACAGCATGGGAGTCAATTATACCACTATTGCAAGACAAGCCAGAGACCAAATAAGAAGTACTTTCATGGACAGTCTGGCACTTCTGTGCTCAGTACCACTAGACATACTGGAACTCCATGAAGGTCTCTTTTTTTTTTTTTGTCAACTGAGAGAGATGCTGGCTGTGCCCAGGCTGGAACAGACCCTCTGAAGACTATTTGACTTTTTCCTCATTTTCTGTTTAAACTGGGGTATGTTTCATCTTTTTGAGTTATCTTGAATGGTTCCTTCTCTATCCTATGGAGTGACATGGGGCTTATAGTGAAAGTGCATGGGGATCTTGATAAAACTTACCTCTTTAGCCTGGAAGGAACTGATGAGTAGAACACTAAAAAGATGAAAATAAAACTCTACTGCAAGGTGCCAAAATGACATCTTTATTACTGTTCTGTTTTGTTTGCTAAAAATATAATTATTTCCTAACCAACCCCTCTTTTTTTTTTTTTTTTTTTTGATGGAGAGGGGAAGACTGGAAGTGAATATCTCCTGTTTTGCTACCACCTGTATGCTCCCACTGGCTAAAATGCCTTCTGGAGAGTTTCCTGTGTGGGAGTTGGGCTGGTCCTAGGCAGAGCATACTGACACTACCTACACATAGCCTGTGATACAAGCATGAACTGTGTTTTTTTCGTGAGTGTAGCATGCTGTTGGTTCATACTAAATATCTTTGTTTACCTTGGTGATTATGAAGTAATGTCAGTTGGCTGAAGTGTACTTGTGACCGAGTTGGGGATCAAAATCATCCCGGGTGTCCACGGGGAAAGTTGGAAGCAAGTGTGAGTTTTCAGTGTATTTTTTCTAAAACTTGCTCTGAAATATGTATGGCAGAATTCTCCTGATCCATGCCTTGTTTTCTGTTTGAGTTTTTTTTTTTTCCTCATCTAGAGCCTTTTCATTAATAATCAGTTAAGGTGCCTGCTGTGGTAATGGTAGAACTCTCTCCCTATTTTTGTTTGTTTTGCAGTTGCAACTAAAAAGCCAAAAAGTGTGAAATGCTTGACCATACCAAGCATCATTGTGTATGTGTGAAACTTGCCTTAAACAAGTCAGTGAGGCTTAATAGGTACACATAGTGTCCATGCCTATCTCTTCTGAACCCCGTGGCAAGTGTTTTAAGACCTATTCTGGTACAAATTATTTTTTAGTAGTTTCTTTTGGCCTTTAGCAATGTAGCTGCTTCTGCAAATCCCTTTTCTTTTCTCCTGCAGTCCAGCCTCAATTAAATGCCTGTTTGGTGTTGATAGCCTTAGTAAAAGGGGTGCTGCCATGATGAGAATCAGAGTTGCGGTTTAACAGCATGTGGATAAACCCTCTTTATCCATTCAAAGCGAGGAGTCTTGGGATTAATATCAGTGAAATTCTGGGATTTGGGAAAAAAAAAAAACATTGAGTACTTACTGCTAAGCTTGAGTGATCACTTGGTCTCTGGCAACATTCTTGCAAAGAATCTGAAGGATAACTGGGTTGATGCAACTTCAGATTGGTACCTGACAGGAGAACACAGATTTGGACTCCTAAGCACCAAGTATATCTGACCCCCACCCCTGCAGTGGCTACTGTGGCCTGCATAGCAACAGTCAAGATAGTAGCTGTCAGGCTAATGAAATTATACTCTCCAGATGCAAAAGTCAAGTTTTTAAGACACGTTAAGTGGTTTAAATGGGTTTTCCTTTTTTGACTTAACCTCCATTGGCAGTTCTGTGGTATTAAACAAGCTGCTTTCTGGTTTAAGTTCACAGTTTATCAACTTAGGTGGATTAACATCTTGAGGTTGTTGTTGGGTTTGGAACAACTAACAATGTTTGCTGTTTGAAGGGAGTACTTGAAGAGATAAGTCTGGTGTCTTCCTTTGTCTTTCCCCTCCAAAATAAGCCTCTAAGTGCATAAACTTTGTACAGTTTGACCTTCGGGGTTACAGTCAATTCTTGTCTTCTCTATTTCCCACAAACAGATTATCGTGCTTTTTTGAGCTGGTGCCTGTGTGGTAAATGAAGATTTTTAGTTCACTATGAAACATCACTGGAAGTCAAGCAGAGCAACATTGGAAATAGTATTTAGATGTTCTTTCTTTCACCTCATCAGGAATGTGCAGGATGAGTGGAAAGGATGCTGTTTTGCTGCGTTAAGTTCTGTCTGATACCTTATAACACTGGCATTCTGTTCCCATTCACTGTTGTGCCAAACTGAGGTGGGGCTCCGTTCTGGGGTATTTAGTGATGGACATCACAGCCATTCATAAGCGCAAGAGGCAGTGGGGAGTTCCAAGTCAAGTCTGAGTAACTTACTGCTGGAGTGGTTCAAGATCAGCTTAAACTTTTCTAAGCTTGATGCCACTGCTTGGTTTCTAAACAACTACATAGTCAAAGCATATTTTTATTTCAGATAAATCCAATTCTGATTGAGCTGTTAAAAGGTGGGTGTACCTTTCCTACACAGAACGTGTGGCTCTGTAGCACCTACAAGCTAATTTGGAGGAAAGGCTGTAACTTCAGGTTGTGATCCCGGATTTCTGTGGTACCAGGATTTTTTTATTATCTAGAAAATGATAACCTCTGACCCTGCAGGGGAAGTGAAACTTAACATTCATAAGAAGACCTCTTCTGCAAGAGTTGCTGCAGTGTAAGAAGGGTGTGTAGTGGTGGACCTGCTAACTCCCATGGACTACTACAGAGGCTCTATGAAAGAAAGAGCTGATACTGTAAACCACTGGGTAGCTGTGTGATGTTTGGGGAAGAAGTGCAAGCAGGGAGAACAAAGTAGCAGAAACTTCTTAAAGATGTAGTTTACTTATTTCACTACTGTTAGTGAGAGGTTGAGATATGAACTGTTAGTAAAATTGGCATGGCCTGTAATCCTTTATATGATGGATATCTCTTTCTTAGGAGGACCCAAACCCTGATAGTGAAAAAAGTGAGATGCTGGGAAAGGGAAACTGGAGGAAGGCAGGAGCTTAGTCTTTGAGTAACTTCCTGAGTGTTCAGTCACTTATGGTCACCTTCTGTGCTTGCACTGAAATAGTGTCAAAAGTGGCTGCACCTTTCCAGTGAGCCCACATAAGTTGAGTCATTCTCAACAGCTCTTAGGTCAGCCTAGCTTCCTTCATCATCTGCAACCAGACCAGGACCTGTCTCAGAGGATGTAAAATTCACTGCTGTCCTGGTTACTCCTACAGAACCTCTAGAATGTTTGTTCCTTCTCTAAACTGGCACCAGCACAATAAAGCAAGCACTGAGATATTGTTTTTTGTACTCAGTAAGGAGCCATGCATTGTTCATACATGTTTTTATCAGGTACTGACTCTTGCAATAAACAATTGTTGAAACATCTCATGGCTTTTTCAGGTATCCATTGAAAAACAAAATGTTGATAAGTGTTAGCTGTTCAGTCATAAATGTTATCAAAAAATAAACTGTGGATTCTTCAGAGTGTCTGCTTGGATTTTTGTTGCACTTGTGCTAAGACTGTAGTGGTCTAAGTCATAGGAAGAAACTTCAGAGAATCATAGAATGGTTGGGTTGAAAAGGATTTAGAAGTCCACAGAGTTCCGGATGCCTGCTGTACAGAGGCAGGTTGCCCCACCAGGTCAGGCTGCCCAGGGCCCCATTGAGCCTGGCCTTGAGTGCCTCTAGAGGTGGAGCAGCACCTCCAGGGATGGGGCATGCACAGGCTCTCAGGGCAGCCTGTTCCAGTGCCTCACCACCCTCTGAGTAATTTCCTCTGCATGCCAAGTCTAAGTCACCCCTCTATTAGTTTAAGACCTTAGTCCCTCATCACTGTTAGACCATGTAAAAAGTCATTCTCCCTCATCTTTGTAAGCACCTGTCAGGTATTGGAATGCCGCAATGAAGTCTCTTCAGAGCCTTCTCTTCTCCAGGCTGAATAAGCCCAGCTCCCTCAGCCTTTCCTCATAGCAGAGATGCTCCAGCCCTCTAATCATCTTTGTGGCCCTTCTCTGGACCCCTTCCAGCAGCTGCAAACTTGCCTTGCGCTTGGGTCCCTAGTGTTGGGTGCAGTCCTCCCATCTATTGATGCAGCCCAGGATACTGTTGGCTTGTATACAGTTTTTCAACCAGGGCTGCTCTGAGTTTCTGCTGAAGCTTTTCTAAACTCCTGGAGGGTTTCTGTCTTATGTGGATGCTCTGGTGGACCATGAGTTGGGAATTGCTTCTGAAGCCTTCATACACACAGTTGCATGAAAATAAAAGAGGAAAATAAAGGTTCTTGTTCTGCTGTCCTTTGTGCACGTCTGTCTGTTGCTCCTTAAAATGTGCAGACTCTGGCCAGCAGAGGAAGGTAAGCTAGCTCTGGCCTGGTTCCCCTCCTCTTCAAAGTGTCAGTGATGATGATGAGGACTGCAGTACTTCCAACCTGTGTGTAAGTCCATGCACTGAAAACCATTCACTTTGCATCCTAGGGTCACTGCCATACCACCAAAAAAACCACAATGGAAGCAATGAGAAGATTAATCTGTGTGAATTTGATAGTGCGAAACACAGAGCAGTGCTCTTGTCTTGTGTTCAACCAACTCTGACAGCTCTTGTTCAGACTCACAGGTTATGAAATGTTGTCTTGACTTACGGTGATGGCATGTTCCTATTCTTTCTCATATATCTGTATAGGTATACGTAGGTTGCTCTGAAAGTGATACCTCCTATTCTATGGAAACGACAACAAAGAGAACAATAACGCTGTTTGATAGGACAAATTCTCAGCTACAAAATATTATTTTTCAACACAGTCACCATCACTAGCTGTGCATTTTCATCAGTGGTAAACAAAAGCCTGTGTGCTGTGCTCACAAAAATCTATACCAGCAGATATGATGTGCTATTACTACTGCTGAAACACACCCACCACCCACTGCCTCACTGTGCTCACGTCCACTGTTTGTCCTAAATCAACGTCCAGTGAGCAGTGATGAACGTCGGTGAGTACAGTTATTTCCTCACAGAGGAATGCAGATCACACCTCAGCTTTATCCACACATCCACGTCAGACATTATTTTGTCAGAGTGGCCCTCTGTTGCCATCTGTAACATGGCAACAAAATGCAATGGGATGCTGGTGGGAAGGTTCAAATTCAACTGCATATCACCAATATCTGCCTCTGACATTATCTGCCATCATCATAAAATTGGCAAAAAAGAAAGGAGGCATTACTTTCAGAGCAGCTCTTGTATTTTGTTCATTGTTTACTATGGAACTAGTGTTGATGGAGAGAAACACTTTGAGGTAAAATTGTAGTTCCCTATCAGTGTGTACATTTTTTAAATACACTGTTTGTTTACCTCAGTGTGATGGAATGAACCAATAAATGTATTTAAAAGGACTCCTTTACAAAGAATTCAATGTTTCATTTTTTGTCACCTTCACCACTGAAATGTGATGTGTGCACTTACTTTACTAGGCAGCCTATTATCCTACTGCAGAAACGTTTTTCCTGTAAAAGTTTATTCTACTGCTGATTTAACTGAGTATCAGCTGGCTGTTGCCATGGTTAACTGCTACAACCTGAAAGCAAAGGCTGTAGCTGTGGCAAGGCTCTGAGGGCTGGCGATGGTGGGACAGGGATGGCAGCAACTTGCTTAGAATGGGAGAGCTGCTTAGTGAGTAATCAATTTCTGCTTGCCACATCCCTGTCTCAAACTGGGGCTGCCTGCCTTACATCCTGGCTATTACAGGTGCTGAAGAGCTTTTTAGTTGTCTGTACATAGTCTAGGAGACTGGAAGCCAGTTAATTCTTGCTAAGTCAATTAGCATGTGAGTGGAAATGAGTCTAAATGCTGATCTTTACAGTGCATGCCGGTCTTCTGAAACTTGTTTGGATTTAGCTGATAACATCTCAAGAGAACTGGCACATTGCATGGGGTTCCTTTCAGCTGGAACGTGGCCCAGCACCCCAGCACGAGGCTGGGCTTACAAGATGACTGCTACCTGGCACTGTCTGCCCTCCACCTCCACAAAACCTGTAGGGATGGTGACCTTCACTTGCCCATTTCTTAACCTGCTACAAGAACATCCTGGTGCTGGGGATGAAATGCCAGTTCTGAGTCATAGGTGTCTTCCCATAAACTCTGTTAATGCACTACCATGGCAATCTCCCAGAAAAGAGGAGCGTGAACATGTATTAAGAAATGTTTTATTGTAGAGATTACAAAAAATGTACCTTAATCTTGGTGGTTTTTTGGTTTTTGGTTTTTGTTTTTTGTTTTTTAAATACAATGGCATTTCTGTATTTCTTTTCATAACATCAGTTATCTTTACTCTTGACTGTAATATGTTAGAAGCTAGTCTCGTCCTGCTGACCACTGTGCACTCCCAGTGTGCTGCTTCTGGACCTCAGCCACGTAAGCCAAAGTCACAGAACTGCTCTGAGGTTTCAGACTTGAAGGACAAGACGAAAATAATGGAGAACATGGCTGTTCCACTACTTTCCCCTTTTAAATTGGTCGATGTGCTTGGAAACACACCTCTCATTTCTGCCCTGTTCTTGTCCGTCTGCACTATTGCTAAGTACCTAGAATGAAAAGATGTTCAGAACACTGATAGTGACCTACAGCCAGTGCACATTACTCTGCATGATGATGTACTGCAGAAGTAACAAGGCAAACTTCTTTGTACTGGGTGAGCTCAGTGGCTGACAGTGTGGCATGCTGTGAGGTGAAGACGTAGATTAGATGCTTCTTGTAATTAAGCTAACTGTAGGGGCAGGTGCTTGGCAGACCTTCCACCTCCTCAAAGAACTGATCAAGACTAAAAAATGTGTTAGATGGTACAGTTTCTGTCACTTGGTTGGAATCTGAAAAGAACCAGTGCTTGAACGTTGTTTGATGGCCACAATGCTGTAAAGAACAAGAAAAACACAGGTTACTAGAGAGCTACCAAGCTACCTTCTCAAGACAACTGTTCACTGTTGTTGAGCCTTTAATTTCTCTTTGAAAGAAGCACCTGAGGGATGCTCAAAGTTACTATTTTTGATCACAATGAGCAAGTAATCTGTAATGGATTTAAAATATGTATATTTTTTAATTTGGGTAGGATTATTCCCTCACTCTGCTTACTCTTGTTTTCTCATTGTCTAGCACTACATTTGTGCAAAGGGTTTGTCCCATGGGATTATTAGCTCTTGAACTCTGCCAAATATTTCTCCTACAGCAATTCACATTACGTAGAACAAAAAGGAGGTGGAAAACAGTGGCTGAATCACTTGCAGGTCAGATTCAGTGAACTTTCCCAAGTGCTTGTCATCCCACTTCCACTGAATTTTTGTTTTTCTTTTTTCAGTGTTTTTTGCAATTTTCTTTTGAAACAACAATTAAAAAAAAATTCCTTTTCCAATCAGTATTGTGCACTTAAGACCTAGAATCATGAAGCGAGTAGAAAACATAGTGTGCCCCTTTGGGGAAAGCAATTCCTATTCCCTACCTTGAAGGGAGGAGACTCAGGCAGCCAGCCAGGAAAGACAGAACAAAGCAGAAGCCGCTGTACCAGTTCAGCGTGCTTTGGTAAATCTTGTTGTAGGCTGTGGATGTCACTACTCCCGTGGTGACTAAGGACAGCTGCAGCAGGACAAACACCTTACCTGCAAAACAGCAATGTTGTTTGTTATCTGGGAGAAAAAAGCCTGCTGTGCCACCTCCCTGCGACATCCAAGTGAATCATCAAAACCACTGCACAGAGAAGTGAAGTGGTCATGGCTTACCAGGGGCCAGATTGCACGAACTTACATCTGCTACTGCTCTGGAGCAGGGTTAAGAAACTCTTCCTTAGAGCATAGGAGAAAGCTGCCTGCTTAAGCAGTCTAGATTTTAGTTTGCAATGAAAAATTGCAACCTCAATTGCAACTGGAAACAAGTGCTCATTTCCATATGGTATGAAAAGGCAGTGTATTCAGGACAAAAGAGATCTTAATCAGCTCCTGCCATCGGCCAGAAGGCTCATCCATTGGGCTGAAATGTAATAATACATGAAATGGAGAACTGTGTGTGACTGTGATGTGTAGCGAGGAGGAAACTGAGTCCCCTTTGGAGCTGCTTGAGGGCAGCCATTCTCACTGAAATGCACCATTCTGTTTCTGTTGTGGTAAGTGGAGGAAGAGGAGCAGTCTGATCCTCCCGGGATGCACAAAGCAGGAGCACATTCAGGGCCTTATGCCAAGCCTGTGCCTGTGCAGCCTCCTCTTCCCGTGTGGCACCAGAAGCCATCACCTGAAGAAACAACGCGGTAACCAGAGTGATTTGTGCTCCTGGGAGTTTGGGGCGCTGTGGTCATACGGCAGAAGGGAAAATAATGAATATGTGTGACTATGGGCTGTGTTTTGAGGATGCATGAGCAGTCACAAGCCTGAGATGTGTGTGTGTGCATGACCATGCCAGCGGTGTCTGAAGCCAAGTCACTGGGGTGAAGATGGTAGCAGCCAATATGGTGTGGTAAAATACATACGTTGCACTATTTTCTAATACAATGTTAGCAGAAAAATTAGGAATAGCTTCTTCTGTCATTTTCTTATGTAAAAGCTGTCCTTTGTTTGTTAATTCATGTTCTGAAGGAATTGATTGGCAAGAAATGTTTGGAGACTTATTTAGAGACTGTAACTGAAAAAAAGATGAAAGAAATCCATCATTCCCAAAACTAGAAGAAGACAAATATAAACTCTGAGTATCACTGAGCTTCAGGCCAGCGTGCCCTCTGTTTCCCCTGGAGCATTTGTTTTTGAACAGTACTTCAGATATTATCTTCCCTGCCTTTCAGCTGCACACTGATCTGTTGAAATGTGTACTGAAAATTCTGTGGATAAATGATGAAGCAATGGGGGAGGAGAAGCTTGGACATGGCAGGCTTGTTCTGCAAGTTTCTCTGCTCCTCCCTTCCTTTTTGTGGTACCAGCTGTTATTATGCAATGCACAGATTGCAGTGAAAACTTGCCAAACAGAGGGATTTGGCAGTTTTTTGATTGGTGGGGCAACTGAAACGCTTACCATAGGATGATCCTTCAATGTGCTTGGACAACATGGACCTGATGGTTGGTAAGGGGATGAGGGCAAAGAGCATCACTGCTCGAGCTGCAAAACAGTGAATATATATGGTTATTATCAGTACCTGCTTCCTGTCTCACAGCATCCACTGCTTTTGAAGACTGCATGCTTCTGGCATGGGCAGGGCCTTTGCTTCGCCTTGTCATATACCCTCAGCCTCCGAAAGTGGTTAAAATCTGCAAGAGGAATGCAGGCCTTTGCTTCATGCAGGTGGCAGTGGATAAGCCACCATCTGCTCCAGATGGCAGAGGCACTTTGCCTGAGCCAGCCGTGATCTCTTGGATTTGACCTCTGGTTCCAGCGTATACATATAGCATTCTCCTTGTGGCAGTGAGCTGGACAATCCAGGTCTAGCCATTGGAGAAAGCACCCTATGCTACCCAGCCTGGACAGGAACACTGCTTCTTCTCCTGTGCACTGCTTCTGGCTTGGCCTCAGTGAAGACCTGTCCACTTTTAGCAAACTAAGCTGTTTCTCCAACACCTTAGTGTGCATCTTGCAAACCCGTTATCAGCACTTGTTGGTGATGGACTTAGTACTAGACAAGCATTTTTAAAACTATAATTTTATGTCTTTTTTTCCTCTAATTGCCTAGTGGGTGAACAAAATCTGGTAAAAATTTAGCTCAGTTTTTGGCGTGGTACAGAAATAATATCCTACCATCTTTCCTCTTAGAATAAATTTGTTTGATTTTCAATTTCTCCTTTCTTGTAGAGGCAGACAGAAAAAATTCTTCAGGCCATTTCTCTCGGATCTTTTCCTCACTTTAAGAAAAAAGATCCCAAAGCTGTGCAAGAAAGCCATGCTCTTTCTGTTAGTCAGGTATGAGTCACCCACCTCACTGTCATCAGGGATACTTTCTTGGCTTTTGGTTTCCTGTTTTCCTGGACAAGCTGCTTACCCAAAATAAACTTGCCCCAACTTTTATTACCTGTCCCTTAGTCATTTATATACAGTGTAAGATTTGTATGGTAAATTGCCATAATCTTTTATTTGCTAAAGCAGCTCCAGTTTTTCGTATAAACTCTCTCATCAGTCATAAAAACCTTAATGTAATAAAAATAAATGACATATTAAGGAGATCACTTAGCAGGAAATCTTTCACAATTATCTTCCATCATAGGCTTAAGTCTTATGCCTTGAGAAACAAGTGCTTCACATTATTGGAACAGTGTTGTCTGACTGGTAGTGGTAGCCTGCAACAGTTCCTGCCCTACCACATTGTGAGCATTTTTCTCCCATTCAGATCTGGACTATGACCAAGTGACACACAGATTTCAAGTTAACTAGCTTAAACTGAGCATAGACATGAGCATGTACCTTCTCTGGATATTGATGCATGCTGCACAAGAGAGGTGTGGGGAGAGGGCACTTGTGGAAGCTTAACTCACCTATGTAGAACAAGAAAGTCCACCGCACGAAGGCCATGATGAGGATGCCAGCACTGAATGACACCACTCCGATCATGATCATGGTGATGTCCTTAAAGCACTTGGAGAACACAAGTACCCCCAAGAAGCTGGTGATGAAAATCATGTACCCAACAGCGTTGCCGTGGCCAATCTCCACGGCATTCCAACTCAAAGGCTTCCTGATCAAGAAGAGTGGAAGTACATTCATTGCTCCAACTACGGCAAGATCATAGAGGATCGCTGCCACAAAAAGCATAACGATGATTAGTTTTGAGGGTGTTACTGGAGTTTGACTGCTGCTCTCTGAAGGCTGGGCACTGTCTGCTCCTCCTATGTGAGCTGGTCGCTGGCTGCCAGCCTCCTCTACAGTCTTGGCTTTGTCTGGGCAGGAAGCTGCTGGCCTGGGGACCATCAGCACAAAAGCACTGTAGAGGAGACAGAAAGCATAGCAGGCAATGCTGCAACTCACCAGCACAGTGCCCTCTCGATAGTGATAGCTGAAGCCAACAAAGAGGTAGCCGGATGCCATGCTTCCCAGAAAGCCCGCAAGGCCATACACCATCTCAATAATAATGAGCCGCAGAGACCTCCTGCTCTCAGAGGAGCCCAGAGATCCCAGAGCCATGATGCCTGCCCAGAATGTAGTGAAGCCGCCTGTCAGCCCATTGATGGCTGCAGCCCCATACATCACCTCAATTGGCCAGTCCAGCAGAATCAGCAGAAGCAGGAGAGATTTGGAGCCCAAATAGCCAAGAAGCGAGACACAGATGGGGATCTTCCGATGCACCTTGTCCCCCAGCATGGACAAGCCATAGGCTGACACCAGTGGACTGAGACCCAGGACGAGGTTGTAGATGATATAAAAATTAGAGACAGCTTTCTGCTGAGCATCTTCCAGTACATGGGAAGGGACAGTTGAATTGGTCTGGTTGTAGAAGCTCTTCACCACCAGCAGCAGCGCTGTGTCGTAGAAGGCACTGGCCACCTGGGAGCCTGCGACCACCGGCTCAACCCATGTTCTCATTGCCATCATCCCTACCATGGTGCAGACGGCCACCTCTAATCAGGGAGAGAGGAGAGCTGTTTTCCAAGAGATGTGCTGGAGGAAGTAGCGTTCTCAGAAGTCCTGCTCTGGATACATGCTTGAAGTGGAGCGGTGGAGGGAAAATAAAAGGTCTGCCAGTTTGCACAGAATCGGAGTTGTGCAAGAGGCAATCTGGCTGGGAGGATGTTTGCACCTCACTTTGGTATGTATGTGTGCATTCGCATGCACATCCCTGTGCTGCTCTGACCTCTGGCTCAGGCAGCAGAGGCTTTTGTACGGAGACTCCCTGCACTCACTGGCTGCTGCTGCTCTTCCTGGTGCAGCTTCAATAAAGATCATATGACCTGGGGGGAATTTCTGTCACCCACTTTAGGAAGTGAAAATGGCCATGTAGTTGCTGCTTTTTTTCTTTCTCTTTTGGCATCCTTCACAAGCCACAAGGCTCTCAGGGAAATGATGCTCATGCCTGACGGCAGGGACAGGAGAAGGCTGAGTGCTGAGTGCTTTTCTTGCCAGGTGTTTCATGAATTCCTCTTTGCTCCATTCCTTTCCTTTTTATCCACACAAATGTGATGCTGGCTCCGTGACTCTCAGCTGCTCCCCTTTGCCCTGTTGCAACATCATGCCTCTGTCACTGTTGTTTCAATAAAACAAGCAGGAAATTACACTAAAAAGAAAAAAGGAAAAGATAAAATCTTTATTTTTCACAACCTGCCTCCCAGTTCTTGTGCTGTATCCTTGGACTTTAAAATATGGGAATTTTCAAAAGGAGGAGGAAATTCCCAATGCTACCAAGGTACTGGTGATGGCCACACAGCTGCCATCCAAGATTTCCATTCTGTGCGTTGGCATGGACTCTCAGCTTGCAGCCATCCATACACTTTGCTGCTGCCCCACGCTCTGGGTCTGCAGGAAACACTCAGGGGATGCTTGGCAGCTTTAGAAACACTAAGTGAAATGATAATGATCTCATCCTGTGCTGGCTGAGTGATTCATAACAGGCAGAGTAGCAGTCTGCTCTGGGAAGATTCACAGTGATGGCTTAAAAAATAAATTAATGATTAATTGCACAAACCACGTTAAAAAAATCCCCATCTGCTACACTCTGTGTTGATTCAGGTGGCACTGACTCAGTGCCTGTGTACTCATGGCTCAAGAGGGGCATTTTTTCACTCCTTTGTCCACTTGTGCAATACTTTTTGTTTTAGGTTTCTATTTGAGGAAAAAAATCCCAAGAACTAAGATAGAAAGGAATGGGGAATTGTCTGCTAGGATGATTTGCTGCTACCAGAGAATTATAACATTTTTTTAAACAGACCAAAAGACTTGCAGACAACTGCAGAATTCATTATGATTTGCTCCAAATGTTTATTTTTTATCAGATTTTCTGCAGAAGGTGTTTCTTTAGTTTTTCTTCCTTTCCTCCAAACACAGTAATACTTCCAGAGGATGGAAATTCCAGGCAGCCTTACTGAAAGCCCCACAGCTGCAGAATGGGACTGGTTCAGTCAATACATGCAACCAGAGTCATGGACATGTTTTGTTACAACCCAGGAGCCCCAAGTTTTCTTCCAGATATTAGAGGGAAAGAGAAATGCCTTCATCCCATTGTAGCTTTGATGTAGGACATTGGTTGTCTTGTCATGAAGAGGAATTCTATGAGCACAGGGCTGGAGAAGTTGCAGATCTGCTCAGTTCTTGAATGAGGGATGATTTCCCTCTGCACTTGGTGGTATGTACAGGCTGCCTGGCTTATTTGTCTGACACTCTTGACATTTAGGTGATACTGTGCCATGCTCAGTGCTATTCAAGCCCAGAGAGCTAATGAGCTGCGCTAAATGCCGTTAGTGATCTCATGAATTGCATATATATTTCCAGGATATTCTGAGTGCTCATTCTCATTAAATGTGTTTTTAAAGCTAATTCTCTTAGAAGGGTATAATTTTATGTCAGCAACTGCAGTACAATTATAACACAAGTTTAACTTAGGCTGTATAACATATCCTACTGAAAAACGCTCTGTGTGAATACTACATTCATCTGATCCTACAAAGACTTCAAGATTTCCATTCTCCACAGTCAGCTTTTCCACAGGGCTCAGTTCTCATTTTACTGGTATTTAAGGGGTCAATTATGTGTCCTCTAGAATTTAATATTTGTGCACAATTAGCACGAGGGATCCTAAAGGGCTGTAAAAGAGTGGCTCTTGACATTTAAAAACATGCACCTACAGAATGATTGAGGTTAGCTCCAAGGCAAAAATACATTGCTGTAGACTGCTGAAACCCAGTGGTTAAAGGCAACCCGCCTTGAGCCCTTGGGCCTGGGGACCCTGAAGCGAGGTCAGCACCAGCTCTTCTTCATGGAGAGGTGGTGCACTGACACATAGTGAAGTGAGGAAGGACCAGGATTGTACCCACAGTACGGTAAGAGAGACCCAGCAGGGACACATGGAGGAAGCTGGCAGTTGTCATGCTTTCACCCTGAGAAGTTACAGTTCTACACATTTTTCTCATTTCAGCTGTCTCCTTACCTGGTCAGAGTCTCTCCTGTGGGATTCTCTCCCTGCTAGACAGACAAAACCCAGCACCCTTTACCTGTGCTTTTTGTTGAGTCAGCTGCGTTTTAATTTAGCTCAAGGAATTTAGGTGATTTAGTGCTGAGACCTGACTGTATTTCTTAACATAAATCCTTTGCATGAAGATAGGAAAAAAGGCTCCTGGTGGTATCCAGTGCTTGCTTAATCAGCTGGACTGCAGAACAAATCCTGCTGTACTTCTCAGATAAGGCCCAGATAATCCTTGAGCTAAATGCTTTTTTTGTGTGTGCATATTCTATTTTTTATTAATATTCACCTCTTCTTTTAAATTACTGTCAGTCTATACGGGCTTGGCACAAAGCACTGCAATTCAACAGTGTATAGGCAGGAATGAACTTAATATAAATGTTTGAACTGGGAGGGACTTTTAAAGACCAGCTAGTCCAACTCCCCTGCAGTGAACATGGACACCAACAGCTCCATCAGGTGCTCAAAGCCTGGTCCAGCTTGACTTTGAGTGTCTCCATGGATAGGGCATCAAACAGCTCTCTGTGTAACCTGTGCCAGAGCCTTGACACCTATATTGTAAAAAACCTTCTTCCTTATACCCAAATTTAAATCTCCCCTCCTTCAGTTTGAAACCATTTCCCCTTATCACATCACATCAGACCCCATTAAACGGTCTGTCTCCTTCTTTCATGTAGCCCCCCTTTACATACACAAAGGCTGCTGCCAGATCCTTCTGTTCTTCAGACTGAACACCCCCAGCTCTCAGCCTGTCCTTGTAGGAGAGGTGTTCCATCCCTTGGATCATTTCTCTGTCCCTCCTCTGGACATGCTCCAACAGCTCCATGTCTCTTCTGAACCGAGGACTCCACATCTGGATGCAGTGCTCCAGGTGAGGTCTCTCCTGTGCAGAGAAAAGGGGAAGGATCACCTCCCTTATCCTGCTGGCCACCCCGCTTTTGATGAAACCCAAGATGATCGGCTTTCTGGGCTGTGAAGGGACGCTGCTGGTTCAAGTCCAGCTTCCCATGCACCGCAGCTGAGTAGTGGGATGAAATGAATTATCCCATAATGGCAGCTTAGGCTTCACTTGTTGAATGGAGTGAGGACAGACAGTTTAGAAAGATGAAATAAGCACAGCAAAAAGATGACTATTAAAAAAGTTCAATGCTGGATACAGCACAGACAATAATCTGTAAAAACTGAGTTCAAAATAAAAAACTGCCCTTCTCCCCCACGTGCTCTCCAAAGATATATTCAGAAATTATTTTGGTTATATAATTTACATGCTTTCTTTCTTTCTTTTTTTATTTTTTATTTTTAAATGTAAGTTTATAAATATTTACAGCTGTGGTGAGTGGGTACTGAAAAGCCTACAAACATTCTTTAAAAAAGAAAGAGATGTCTGAGCAAAGACATCAGAGTAACTAAAATCTCAGTAGAAGTGTGTGTGTGTACATTTGACTTTGAGTCTATGAGACTGGGGAGCAAAGTGTGGACATGAACTAGAGAAAGGCTTTATGCAGTGCCATTGAGGAACGCAGAATAAAGAAGGAAAAAGAAGCAGCAAGCTTCACCCCCATCCTTGTGGAGTGAGGGAGAAAAGAAGAAAAGTAGTGCAAGGAAAAGAGGAGCACTAATTATTCTGGCTGTGAAGGCAAAGCGTTGCCTTAGATGTGAAAGAGAAGAGAAAGGTTGGGGAAGAGGCTGGATGGGAGCACTGTGATCCTTCTTGTGACCATGATCTGGATGACTATCTCAAGAAAGCAGGTCAAGGAAGAGGGAAAGGGTGGTGAGTGGGGTATGCACCAGCTTTAGTAACATTCCAGGTTCTGGAATGTCATCTGAGCTGCTCAGCTAAGGTGGAGCCTTTCCTGGACCTTTGCTAGGTAGCTCAGCCCTAGCCAGGGGCAATTGCATTGAACAAGAACCTCTCCAGACACACAGCTCAGTGGGATCCAAGGAGGCCTTGGGACAGTGGAGAGGAAAAGGCCTGAATCCACCCAGTTTCCAGAGTGAGAGGTGAAGGCAACCAAGAATACTGTGAATGCTTGAAGGCACAGACTGTGTTAACTGCTGTGATAACTGTTAGTGCTCGTTTAACCTTCCTCTTTTGAGGAGAAAAGATAGAAATTTTCTGTCAAGTTTTTTTTCTTCTGCAAGACAACCTTGCGTGGAAATCCAGCCGTTTTCACCCTATAAATCTCAGGTTAGTGCTGTGCATGGCCAAGTTCAAGTCTCAAAGGGGGCGAAGGGTGGGGTGAGGCCACCACTGAAGGCCCTCCCAGTGTTCATGGTGGGCAAGTCCTAACTGCTGCCGTGAAGTCCCTGCGCACTCTGTTGGGCTAGATCCTCAACAGAGAAGTTGGCAAGAAAGACTGACTATGGTTTTAGTCACAGGGTGTTTACACTTCCCAGGGAATGCAGAGCTGCAGATGCTGCGGCACACTTAGGAGCTCTGCCGCCTTTTTTCCCACGTGGCAGCTCTTCCAGCTGGACTTCTGCAGCTCAAAATCAAGCCAAAACAAATGTACAAATCCAAAACTTGAGTAGAAGTTCTCAAACTTCTTCCTGGACTATAGAACTCCAACTGCTTGGGTCTGGGCAGATCCTCCATGACACTCAGCGAGTATCCCATGAAGGCTGTTGGCTGCTGCCCTGCACAGCCCGAGGTGGTTTCAGGGTGGGAGGCTGTGGAACAGTGGCATCACTTGTGTGTCACTGCCTGTCTCACTGCAGTGGGTGAGGACTTCCAGGTGACCTCTCATCACGAGAAGAGATATCCCTGTTAGCAGGTGCTGCAGCCACTCCCAGATAATCACCTATCCTGCAGCCTGGAGGCTGGGTACTTATTTGTGTCTGGGAGAGTGGAAAGGTCCCTGGGAGCATGGTGGCATGATGGAGCCCTCCCCACACTGGAGGTACTCTTGCATGACGGTGTATGGCAGGCTACAGGGTACTGCCCCACTGCAGGAGAAGGGTGTGGTAATCTGCACTCCATCCTCAGTGCAGGCATGGCAGGAGTCACCCATCAGCAGGGCTGCCCCAGATCAGCTGATCCAGAGAAA